AAAGTGTCATTATCCGAATTTCAAAAAGCAAAAAGGAGAAAAATTCACACAAAAATAGTACAGTAAAAGTCAAGACTCAGAAAAGTGCGAAATATTACTCGCTCTCAGAGAGCTTCCTCCATGGAACGTTGATTATAAGAGGAAGCCATTTTGTATTTCTCGGACCTCATAAAACCCGGTTTCCTTGGGTCTCAGAAGTGGAGGCTATCTTTTTTCTTTCTTTTCATCTCTTTCGCCTTTCCTCTCTCTCTCTCTCTCTGTGTCTGCCTCATTTTCTCTCGATTTCTTTCTCCCTCTTTCTCTTGCTCACTCTCTCTCTCTCTCTGTTTGTCTCTCCCTCTCTTTCTCTCTCGCTTTCTATCTCTCCCTCTGCTTTCTCTCGCTGTTTCTGTATCTGTTTTTCTCTCTGTCTGTCTGTCCCTCTGCCTTACTCTCTCTCTCTCTCTCTCTCCCCTCCCCCCTTCTCTCCCTGTCTCTCTCTCTCTCTTCTCGTATTTCCTTCCTCCCTCCTTCATCCTTCCTCTTTACTCCTCCCATTACTTTCAATGCCTTTCTTTCCTCCATGGCTTCCTCCCTTTCCTCTCCATTCAGACGAAATGAAAGAGACGTTATTTTGATCCAAGACAAAAAAGAGAGAAAAAAAAAGAAAGAAAAAAACTATCAATTTTAAAGCTGCACACAGGCCCAGGAATATACAATCCGTTATCGCTATAACAGGTCGACTATTGGTATCAGAAATGTAGCTCCATAGTGTTCCGGAATGAAAATCCACACCGGGAACAAGGGAACAATTTGCTCCAAAGGCAAATCCCATGCCTTTGGAACAATCTAACGAGGGATGGCATGGACAAGTGGTACATATAAATGAACCATTGATAGAATAGAGTCTCACTCGAGATAAAGATGTATGTATGTATGTGTGTGTGTGTGTGTGTGTGTGTGTGTGTGTGTGTGTGTGTGTGTGTGTGTGTGTGTGTGTGTGTGTGTGTGTGTGTGTGTGTGTGTGTGTGTGTGTGTGTATGTGCATGCGTGCGTGCGTGCGTGTGTGTATTTTTATTTCTTTCGTTAAATTTACCACTCCCTCGCAGTAGAATAGAGGCACTGCGCCGGCCATTAACTCGGAAGACCTCGCTGGACACGGACTCCACACACCCATCATCCGGCCGAGGAGTTTCCCCGTATCCGGCCGCTAAGTGCTCGGTATCCGCGGTTCGCTGCTTCCGGTTGTGCCTGCAATCAAATCCCGAGCGCAGTTGAAAGGCAAAGGTTCATCCGATGGACCGCCGGCGTAGCGATCCACAATTTATATTCTTTTCGAAGCTTTTCCTTTACAGCTTTTAGAGACGCTTCACTTAAATGATTTTCGAATCGTTTTTCGTCTACTTTTTTCCTTCTTCTTTTTCGAAGTTCAAATCCTAACTCATAAAAGCGTTTCTTTTCCATCTGTTTCGATTCGTTTCATATATATCCTCGAAGCGGTTGGTGGTAATTGAGAAATAGTGAAGCAATGAATACAAGTGAAGCAATAGTGAATACAAAGTGAATACAACTTGTGAATAGTTAATACAACTTGTGAGTAGTGAATACAACTTGTGAAAAGTGAATACAACTTGTGAACTCCGATATCGCTTGCCATATGACCAACATCGTATCAAAATCTATTATCAAACACATTTTCTTGTCTGTGCAGGAAGCCAAAAAGAACATCCATTTTATAAAATATTCTTGCAGAAATCTCGGACCAGACATCGAATCAATCACTAAGCTTAATAGACATCTAAGACACACGAATGATTGTCTGAAGTCCGTATATTACAGGTATAATGTTATAGTGAATGACTAGGATGTTTAAGTCATCTAGCAAGATGAATGTGGAAGTTTATAACGTCTTTGTGTTACAAGTATTTGTATTTTTTTACAATTATATATGATCATTGTTAGAGTTATAATCATTATCGTTATCATCATTATAATACTAATTATTGTAATCATTATCATCATTATCGTTACTTTCACCATTATCATCATCAATGTCAAATTATCATGCTCATTATCATCATTACTATCATCATTATCATCATTATTATCATTATCATTATTATCATTGTTATCATTATTTTTATCATTATCATTACTATTATCATTGTTATAATCATCATCATTATTATTATTATCATCATCATTATTTTATTATCATCATTATTGTTATGATACTAATAATGATGATAATAATGATAATAACAATGATAATGATGATTATTCTTACAATGATAATAATGATAATGATGATAATATAAATAATGATGGTGATAATACTAATGATGATAATGATGATACACACAACAAAACACAGAACAGTACACAGTACAATATTAGCACACACACGTAGCAAACAAAAAAATAATCGGGTAAATAAAAAGATAAATTAATAAACAAAACCACAAGCCGAAGCAACAGCAACAACAAAAACAACAACAGCAACAACAGCAATATTAACAACAACACCAATTAACAATAACAACAACACCAACAGCCATAAAACAATAACAACACCAACAGCCATAAAACAATAACAACAGCAACACCAACAACAGATACACCACAACCAACATT